GATTTTATTGATCAATTAAACAGATAAATATAAATAAATAAAAGATAATTATTGTTATTTCTAAAAATCTAATTGAAATGTACTAAAAAAAAAATAAACAAATGTTTGAATTTTTTTTTTTATCAAAAAAGAATTCTAAAATATATAAATATGATTAATTTTGGACTGAGATTGATATAACAAATGTAACAAAAAAAAATTTATATCAAAAAGCCTTAATTAAAAAAACCCCTTTAAAATTTTTTTTACACTTTTAAAACAAATATCATTACAAATAAAACTTTTTAATAAAAAAATGATTTCAGAATTATTGAAATTAATACCTCACATACAAATCCTTTCATCACAATAATTATTCAATACATTTGATGTTATCCTTGACATAACAAACAATTGCATCACCCGAGTAGTAAATAATACTAAGACCATGCAGAAACAAAACTTTTAATTGTATGACCACCCAGATCCCAAGGATAAATAAAAGGATCAAAAAAATTTATTTTTCCTTCCTACTATATATTTATTTAAAATGAATAATAAATCTGATATTGATCACAGGTGTCAGATTTAATAAAATTTTCCTATCACAAACATGCAATGCGGTGCTTTCACACGCCTCATAATTATGAATTTTTCTTCAAATACTAGGTTCCACACATGTTGGAAGGCTTTGGACAAAATTTCCCTTATCTTCCCTTTCAGACCAGGCTTGGCTGTCACCATATGAGCATTGATCATTGATGAGGATCAGCATTTGTGTGATGATTACTTTGTGTTTTACCTCTCTCTAAAATAAAGTTTATGTCTGCAACTGATTCAAAAATTCTGCAACTCAGGAGGTTGCAACCTGGGTTGCTGCCTTGTCAGTGACATGCCTACTCACCAACAACCCTACCCCATTCGAAAAACAAATTCGGTTGGTCAAATAAAAATTAAAGAGATGCAGAAAATTTATGGAAATGATTAATTTATAACATACCAAACAAAATCTGAACCATTTTATTTTACAGCTTTCTCCTTGATGCCAGTGATCATGGTGACTATCACAATAGGAGTGGGCAGAATAAAACTGCCATCTTTATACTTGTAAGATACATGCTCTCATTGAGCTACACTCCTTTAACCTAAAGTGGAAGGTTATATGGGAAAAAGTTCCCATTTAAAAAAACAACAAATTCAGTTGGTTAACAAAAATTAAAGAGAAACAGAAAATTTATGAAAATGATTATATAAAACAAACACTATTTTACAACTTTCCTCTTAACATCAGAGCCCAATGCAATTTCAGGGTCACCAACCCTGCTCTGGATTGTGACCTCCTGTGCTTGAATGAGCTGCAGATTCTCTTAATATTCCTCCAGAGTTGTGACAGCTTGGTCACAGAGCCATCCTTACCCTAGAGGTAGGATCATTGCAGGAAACTTTTCAGCTAACATGGCAGCCTTCTCTGGTCTGGGTGTTGTGAGGGAAGATTAGTGAAAACATCCTTGATGATCAATGCAGCCTTAGTAAACTCCAGGGCCATGCACCAACCCCTGGAATTCAGTTGCATCATTATATCCATAGGACAGAGCTGGTCAGATTAGCCTTGTGAACATGAGGAACGTGAGAGAATGGTTGTAATGTGTTCAAGGTAGCATGCATGCTTCAACACTTGCCAATTTCCAATAATCAAACATCGCATATTTGAATTGTTTCTTTTGCAACAGTCAATGCTACCTTGACATCTTGTAATTATATATTAATAATAGTATTATTATTACAATTACAAAAGGCAAAATATTATCAATGAAGACTTGTAATTACCCAGCAAGATCTGTTCTGCGTTTTGATTCCAATTAAAATATTTATAAGCTAAAATAAAAGACACCTCATACATATCAATTAAGGTTTCTGACCCAAACTATTTCTCAAAGCCCAAACTAGTTTGGGCAATTTGGGCTTCTCAACATTTTTTATAAGCATGAACATTAAAAAAACTATATGAATCAACTTGTTTTAATTTAAACAACTTTAAAATAATTTTGCCCAATTTCAGCTAATAACAA